AAGGCCATTTTCTTTCCACAGGATGGTGGGTATTTTCTGCCTCAGTCCTTTTTTTTTTTTTTTTTTTTTATAATAAAATAAACACATGTAAGACTGAAGTGACTCGAGAATGATAAAATAGTTTAGGTAGAATATGATATGTTTGGTATGCATAGTATTTTTTTACTTCAATTAACAGGTTAACAAGGAGAGACTCTGATATTCCTGCCATTCCCAGAATTGCAGTTTTTATAAATAAATACCTTCCTTTCTCATATGTGTGCTGCATCTTCTGGATGTAGTGGGTATTTACTCATAGCAATGTGTTACATTTTAAATTACTTGTGAGTGCCTATGGCTCTCTCCTCTGGGACCTCAGACCCACAAGCTAATAACCCAGGGGCATGCAAAATATGCCCCATTGGCCAGATCTGGCCTGCCAAGCCACTGGATCCAGTCTATGGGTGAAGTGGGACCCTCAGCCAGGCTCTGTCTGCTTCGCTCTCACAGGGGGCCATGTGTGTGTCTCTGAATGACGTGATCTTGGAGGGAGGGGATGAGAGAATTCATGTGCTGAGCCTACCCCCAGCATAATCTCACAGCTTCCATTGGCTGGTTTCTGGCCAATGGAAGCTGCTTGTTTGCAAGACAGGCAGCATGCAAAGTACCCCTCTCTCTCCAGGCTTGCATTGTTCAGAGCAGCACATGGCCCCCGTAGCTGCTCTGAGTGGCATGCAGGGGCATGGAAGGCCTAGCTGATGAGCTGTTGACCAGAAGCCACCCAGGTAAGTGCTTCCCTGCCAGAGCTTGTTTCTGGCATCCCAGATCCTCCCTTACCCCAGCCCTCTGCTCCTTCCTGTTCCCCAATCTCCTATGCCTAGTTACATCCCAAAACTCTGCACCTCTGCTCCAGGTGATAACCCCCTCCTGCAACCCATCTCCAGGTCAGAATCTACTCCTGCATCCATACGCCCTCCCAGACCCTGTATCCCAATCCCTTGCCAAGGTCACAACCCAAACCCTTACACCCCCTGCCCTAGGTCACAAACTCCCTTCCACCCAAACTCCCTTCCAGATCTTACACCCCCTCCTGGACCCCACCCTTACACCCCCTGCCCTAGGTCACAACCCCCCCTTCCACCCAAACACCCTTCCAGATCTTACACCCCCTCCTGGACCCCATCCCTTACTCCAAGCTCTCCTCTGCACCCAACCTTCATCCCAGATGCTGTGCCTCCTCCTTGACCACTTACCAAATTTTTGGAGTGGCCCTCCCTTCAAAAATCATTACCCATCCCTGCACTATCCCGTCAGTTTAAGCTCCAGCAAAGCTCTGTTGCTGAGACAATGTGCCACACCAGTCTGACTGACCAGCACACTCCATAAGATTCTGCCAGTCTAACCCTTGCCCTACAGCAAATGCTCAGTGAATCCTAGTTCCCAAGTTCTCTAGAGGCATTGGTCTCTGTGCAGTGTCTAGTCCCTCTCACAGTGACACTCACAGAAAATTAGCCACGTCTGCTGTCAAAGAGAAAATACACATGCCGCATTTTAGGTGAGGTCCCACATTTTACTTTAATATACAGCTCTATGAGTTTATAGTAGTAACATTAAACACAAGCTTATTTTAAAAAAGACATAAATTTAAGTAGTTCTAAGGGAAACTAAGCAAGAGAGAGAGACAGGAATGGCTATAAATAAACCAAAAATAACATGCTGAAGTTAAGCTGTAGACTCTAGAAAGCAAGTAACAAATCTTTGCCTAAGCACCTTTCTCACTTCCATCAGCATCTCCGACCTATCAGCTAGGAGGATCGACTCGCAGAATCAGAGAGACTGTTTCTTTTGTCCCCCACGTGACGGACAAGAGTCCCTTTTATTCCCCTTTTTTATAGCCCTTCATGTCCAGATCAGTTTGCTTTCTCGATTGGCTTGATCACTTTATTTATCTTAGATACTAATGTAGTTCTGTTTTCTTTTGTTTGTAATGAAACCACACTATTTTTCTTATCCACCTGTGAGCCTGATCAATGCAGCCAGGAAAGCCATATTCCTTTATCTGGAGCAGGCTTGTTTATTAACTACCTCCATAATCTATTTCCAGCATGTCTCCTTACAGGTAACCATGTAAGGATACTCATATGTGCATCACCGTTTGCCTATGATACCTTGGGTAAATATTCTGACAGGAGAGTGTAGCATGTGCCTTTTGACAGTTGGCATAAGGGGGCTCTTAGGGCCATGGTCCCTTTCCTGAATTATAAATCATAACCAGACTCCCTTTCCTTAATGTTGTGTTTCTGACTTCTGTAAAAACAGTTGTGATATAATCACTCTCCTTTCCATGGTGGACAAAGGGATTCTGTCTATATGTGGTTTGTAAATTATTTAGAGATCCATCTAGATGAGAACTACACTGGCAAATTTTACTCTTATTTACACCAATAGAAAGCCAGGGTAGCTATGTATAGGCATCCGCTATAGACAGAATTTTCAATCCATTTTTTGATGTAAGGTTATTTTATTGTAATAGCTGCATTTCTGAGTAGGTCCCAGATATCAGGAAGATGATATCTTTGTTCAAATGAATGGAGTTTCTTCAGATTTACATCAGTAATAACTGTGAGTAGGATTTAACCCAATGCATTTTCAATCAAAATATAATAGTGATTGCTATTCTAACAAAGTATTGAAATCAATGTGACAACCCATACAATTAAACTTAGGATCATGCTTACAATTTTCCCGAGCTAAGTCGTAGATGAATTGATTCTAATGTATTCTAATGTAGACATATAATCGGTCTAGGTAAATGTAGTACATGTGTTTAGGATATTAAGTTATCTAAACAGAAGAATATTACTGCAACATAAGTGTTTTAAAACATTGTTTTAAAAATACCCATTCACTACTGAGGAATCCACAGGAACTGTATTTAAAGAAGATGAAGACAGCTTTGATCAGCACAGAAAAAAGTCTGCTGAATGAAAGTCTTTCAAGTTCTATCCATGAATGTGATGAATAAATCACCTGATGGACACGCATATTGAGTAGCTGCTGGATCTGGGTCCTTGACAAGTTTAAGTTACACAAGACGCAGGCCTTGTCCACATGAGGACATTTAGGACAGTTAAGGTGAATCAACTAAAAGGTGTTAAGTCAATCAGAACAGTTTAAAGCACACTAACCCCCTACATATAAACACACTCACTCAGGAGTAAAGTGGCCTACATTCCCTATGACTTAATCTGCCCCAGAATTCTGCAAAGTTCTGCTGCCCTCACATTCAACAGGCATTGAGGATGTTCAAGGTCAATCAAAACCATGCAGGTTTGAAATCAATTGAATGGATTCTCAGCGGGTGTAAATCAGTATAACTATTGACTTTGTGATATTCCCTCAGGTTCAGGCAACCAAAAACTTGCTGGCTCCAATTAATTAAGCACATCTGACATCCCCAGCTCCTCAGTCTCTGAAAAAGGCTTGAACCAAAGGCAGCCATTGGGGATTTCCCCGTGGTATCAGTGTGTTAGTATAATGCTGTTGAAGAAGCAAACAGCATATTGTCAGGTACTGTGGAATCTGAGAACCGTATTTGTAAATAATTCCTAATCCTCTAGATTAGGTGCAATATTGCCGAGAAATAAGAGAATCAAACAGTTTCAAAAGAATGAGTGTTTATTTAAAAAAAAAAGAAAGGTTCTCAAATCCATACCAGAAGTGTGGTGTTATTTTCTAGTTATTCTACTGTTCAAAGTTTCATTAATCTAACTGGGGACCAGAAACAATGCCATGCGACCTATTGCACACCATAATTAGTGATAATAAGAGAGCAGAAGTGAGCAATTTGCAAGCAACCCAAAATCTTGTAACTTATTCTTTTGAAATATTTGCTGAATACAGAAAATGATACTGATTTATGAGGAATGCATACATTAAAAAAAATCTCCTGTTCAACCATCTTTAGCATTTACCGGTTAGGCTAGAACCAAGTCTAAAAATGATTGTTTGATTTATTTTCCCT